GCCTTAAAAACTATGGTATCACAGCATGCTAGATTAACATATTATTTTGCAACTAGGCTTAGTCCAAAGTTGCACCCAGATACTTGGGCGCTGTTGCCTCTTGCAGCTGCTTGATGAGTAATGGCATTAATGTAAAACCAAGTTGCTTCTAATTCATATTGCTCATGTGTAGCTAAATCAAAGAATTTCAAGATTATGCCCATTACTCTATTCTGACATGATGTTAATTATGGTAGTCTGAAATAGCAAAACACAGCGATGTGGTGGTGATGTCTAGCGATGGGCCTCTTGGTACTTACGTCAACAATCATGGGTACGTGCATGCAACGATTACTGTGAACAATGCGACGGGGCTTGCTCTCGAGGGGGATCCCACAGAAGAACACAGCTGGTTTCCAGGGTATGAGCCGTTTTTCGCGACTCCTTGTTTATCTCCCAGTCGCCTCTGTTTATTCTTACGATATTTGAACATGAGATGAAACCATAAGCGCATTTATCTTGCTATATGTGCAGATACGCCTGGACTATCGCGTCGTGCGCGTCCTGCGGTTCCAACATAGGCTGGCTGTTCAGTACCACCAAGAGGCATCTATACCCGAAATCCTTCTGGGGGATCCGCAGCTCCCAGATCGCGGATGTTGTAGATGTAGAACAACAGGAGGAGGAATGATATGCCGCTCTCCATGTACAGCGAGCCCTGTCTTGACTTGTGCCGTCTTCTTTTTCTCCGTTTCCGCAGACTTAGAACCTAGACTGAGATCGTGGCGCCTTTGCCATCCTTGTCGCGCTCTCGTTTTTAGCCTAGCCCCATATATACCCGCCTTTCGCCTTCAGAGTGGTAGCCATTGAAGTTTCTGGGAGACTAATAGCCACCCTCTTCTTGGCCGTGTTGTGTGTACTGTTGGTCGTGTGCGCATAGTTTGTTTCAGAAATCTTCTGAGATGCATATAGTGCACACACCTAGTCTGGATAATAAGTTTCCCGGATGCTAAACAAAGCATGTCTGTGGAAGTCTGTACTTAAATAAGTGTGTTATGTTGAAAGAGAAGTCTAGCTCCATTTGAAATGATGCTTGGAAATTTGGCTTCTTTGTAGATCTGACTATCTGAGGAAGTGCGTGCGGCTTTGTGGAGAAGAAAGTAGTATAAAGTTGCAGTTGCCATACCCTGTACGGTAATGCAGTAGAGTATTTCGGGTATAGTGGGGAAGTGGCCCTGATACCTGGTGAATGAGTGGCAGCTCCACAATGCTTGGCAGCAGTAGCACCGAGCTGGATGGAGGCAACAGGGTCGCCGGCCCAGCTGAGCTAGCGCGAGTGGCGAGTAGCAAACGCATATGGAGCGTGTGTTGTCGGTTTGTTCCAGCCAGCATCTATGGAACCGGTAGCGATTCGGCCGGTATTGCAAAACCGCCTTCCGTAAAAGCGAGAGAGACCTGACGCTCACGGGCGGCGCAGGGGCCATCCGGCCATGGGAGCACAAGCTGACAGTCAGTAGGAGAGAGGGGTGCCGATCGGACGTGAGGGGAAACAAACAGTGACAGTGAATGTGCGCTTCTCTGCGTCTGTATGTACGCTGATGCATTTACAGATATCTGTATTAGTACCTGCCAGCCCTTCCAGTTCCATGATGTACTACAGAGATCACTTGATTGGCGGTAATAATAGTACTGTACGAAGTATGGATGTTGCCCGTCTGTATAGCTGTTTTATAAAGCTGCAAGGATATAGTGGAGGTTGTACTTGATGGTAAGCATGCCGAATTGCTCAATTACGTACTCATTCCCGTACGACTTTTATGTATGGTTGGGAATCGACGCGCATGCAATGCAACTCGGCCGTCGACGGACGGGACAACCCACCAGCGTTGTGTCTTCCCGGAAATAGAAATGCCGGCAAATCCGTTCCAGAAAGCACTGTTTTCAGTCGTTATATTTTACTGAAAGAAAAGGTGTGTCTAGTAGGAGCACTCATCACCCGCGAGAATCAAGTCGGGGCTCCTGATGCCGCCACGGAATGGAACCAGGGTAGAAGGAAACACTGCTCAAAACAAAGTAAACCACGGGGTCGCGGTTACAAGTACAAGGTTTTTGGTTTGCCTTTCTGGGAGGAAATTGCACAAGCCACCACTTATTGGGGCTGGTGTTGCGCAAAACACCTACTATACGGGTTCGTTGCGGAAAACACCGCATATTGGTGTAATACATTGCAGATAGGTCTAATCTAGTATTTGGATGCATTGACATAATTACTGACAAATGGGTCCCGCTCGTAAGTGCACATGTGACAATAAAACCGGCCACATCAGCCAACATATTAGACTGTCATTATCTCCAAAACCTGTGGTCCAGTTGAGCCGAAACTTTCCTAGATTAGTATTGAATATATGTAGTATTTACTGAAATTATTTCACATTTTTCTGAAAATGTCAAAAAAATTCACACTTTTCTAAAATTGTTAACTTTTGAACCCAAATTTAAATGAAGCAAGTTCGGCATGAGATCACCAACACAAAAACATGGTAGATATTGTTCCCATTAGATTTTAGCATCAAGTAGCTGGCATGAAAGTTGGATAAAAGATAATAATCAGATATGTTGCTGAAACAAAATTTATACCGACACAAGGGACAAGGCCTTAAACACATGTCAAAATCAAGCGCAGAACCTAAGTAATAACAACACAAACGTCCCAAAAAATAGGATCCTAAACAAAAATATGTCGATCAACGGCAAAATTTATCCCCAAAAATGTAAGGGTTTCATGAGGGAGAAGAAGACCTAGGAAGGTAGGGGAGAAGACGAGCATAGCTCAAGTGAGAGGGGAGCAAGGCATGGGTGCAAGTGCTCTAAAAATCCGCGTCCCTCTTTGCTCGAGCCACTATGTATGAGATGGTTGTGTCTTGTTTCATCGACATCGGCTTTCAGCACATCTATTTTTGTGAGTCGGCTTCCAGCCCACTTATTAAACTGTTTTTTTAACTCTGGTCTTTTCACTTCTTGGTCTAATATACATTGGCTGATGTGGCCGGGTTTTATTGTCACGCGTGCACTTAGAAGCGGGACCCATTTGTCAGTAATTATGTCAATGCATCCAAATACTAGATTAGACCTATCTACAACGTATTACACTAATATGTGGTATTTTTCGCAACAAACTCGTATAGTAGGTATTTTGTGCAACACCAGCCCCAATAAGCGGTGGTTTGTGCAATTCCCTCGCCTTTCTGGACAGGACAGTGGGAAGCAGAGGCGAAGGGCGGGACGAAGACGAAGACGAACGAGCGCACAAGCATGTGGGCATGCATGTGGTGCGTGCACCGCCGCAGCGCACGACACAAGCGCCGCTCTGCTAGATGCGCGCGCACGCCCACGCCCACGGCCCACTAGAGCCAGCCAACCAGCGCGAACAGCGGGCTCTGTCATTCCATCGTTCCTTCGGAACAGGGCGCCCGTGATCTCCTTAAATTCCCCCCCGCTCCCGAATTAAACCTGACACACCCCCTTGTAGCTTTGTACCTAGCTAGCTGCCGGTGAGTGACCACCGCAGCAGCACCCGTCGGCTGTTGCCACTGGCGTGCGCGCAGCGCATTGTCGCGGCAATGGCAGCGTCGTCGTCCTCATCCTCTTCGTCGCGGGCGAGGTTGCTGGCGTGCGTGGCCGTGGCGGCGCTGCTGCTGCTCGCGCCGCGCGACGTGGACGCCGGCCGGCACGGGCACGGGCGCGGGAGCGCGGCGCACAGGCACACCAAGGGCCTGCGGCCGGGGAAGGCTGCGGGTGCGGCGGCGAGGCCGTACCCGGCGAACGCGACCGCGGCGGAGGCGATCGAGCGGCGGTTCACGCGGTGGGTGCGGTTCATGGGCGGGCTGGACCACAGCGTGTTCCAGCGCGCGCTCAACCGCGCGCTGCTGCCGTCGACGCGCACGATCGTCGTGGACAGGACGCCCGGGGCGGGAGACTTCACCACCATCCAGGGCGCCGTCGACTCGCTCCCGCTCATCAACCTCGCGCGCGTCGTCATCAAGGTCAATGCCGGCACTTACACGTACGTGCGTGACCACAACATGTAATTCCCGTTCACTGCCGTTCTCTTGGGTGTAGTGACTAACATGTACGCACGTGCGCACGGCGGTGCTGCAGGGAGAAGGTGAGCATCTCGCCGTTGCGCGCGTTCGTGACGGTGGAGGGCGCGGGGGCCGACCGGACGGTGGTGCAGTGGGGCGACACGGCGGACACGGCCGGGCCCTGGGGCCGCCCCTTCGGCACCTTCGCCTCCGCCACCTTCGCCGTCAACTCGCAGTTCTTCGTCGCCAAGAACATCACCTTCAAGGTGCGTGCGTACTGTACTTACTCCAGGCCGCCGGCCACTGGTGATTGATAGATTCGGCCGGACTAAATGGTGGTGGCGGCGCATGCAGAACACCGCGCCGGTGCCTCGGCCTGGCGCGCTGGGGAAGCAGGGGGTGGCGCTGCGGATATCGGCGGACAACGCGGCGTTCGTGGGGTGCAACTTCCTGGGCGCGCAGGACACGCTGTATGACCACCTGGGCCGCCACTACTACAAGGACTGCTACATCGAGGGCTCCGTCGACTTCATCTTCGGCAACGCCCTCTCCCTCTACGAGGTGCGTGCATCGTCCCCTCTGTCCCCCCTGGCATTGCATAAACATCTCTCTCAAGTTCTCAAGCAAGCTTGATCAAGACTTGGTGTTAATCAGCACCGGCAATTCGGGTCAACAGAGTATCTTTGCTCGGCCTGACTTGTCGGTGTGTCGACTGTCACTGTACTACGGGGGTGTTTGGTTTAGAAGTCCTAGGACTTTTTCTAGGGTCTTTTTCTAGTCCCTGTAGAAAAAGTCCCTCCCGTTTGGTTCCTAGGAATTTTTTAGGGACCTTTTCTAATCTTTTGGACTAAAAAGTCCCTGAACCAAACACCCCCTACGTCCGGTCGAGCCCTACTACATAGAGCACAAAGAGGTGGTGGCATCTCAGTACCCGCCGGGGCTGGGCCACAGCAGAGCATCCAGCTCCAGCCAGTGTCCCACGTAGAGTCACGCACGTACGTGCGTGCAAGAGCACACGGGGCGGGCATGAGCGTTCCCACACTGTTAAAACAGAGGATAGTGTTCCTGACAGTACATTCCTGGAAGGGAACAGTACTACGTAGATAGTACTAGCACCGTGAGCCCGTGACGAATCTTGTCCCGGCAGCAGCGCCCAGGCCGCCGTTCGTTCTCGCTCTGGGCCAGACACGATCTGGTTCCGTGTCAGCCACCGCTCCCGATCCGTGCCGTGGCGCCGTGCCCATGCTGCCATGCGGCTGCGGCTGTGCGCGCACCGGCAGATCCGTCCGCGGATGGATGCTGCATGCATGCTGGGTCACGGCCTCCCGTACGTATCCGTCCCGTTTCTGTTCGTCCGCCGGGTCCTACGACCTTCAGTGCGTGATGCCCCGTGCATGCTGGGACAAGACAAGATGGAAGGGAATGTAGATTTCCATTAATTAATGGCGGTTTTGGTTCTTGATGGCAGCGAGCCAGTGTCGCCCCCCTTGTACCGTTGCGGAATGTGGCTTCCTGGTGGCGGCAGGTTCTCCGGCCCCTCCATCTAGGGACTCGGCTCCCCTGACGTACTGCAGGGCGCAGTTGGGTCACTGACAGGTGGGCCAACTTG